TGCAAGAAAACTTTCCAAACCTAGAGAGGCATTCGAAAATCCAGTCCCAAGAAATACAAAGGACCTCAAATAGAATCAACCCAAGAAGATCTTCTCCAAGACACATTATAGCCAGGTTGACCAAAACCGCAAAGACAAGATACTAAGATTGGCAAGAGAAAAACACCAAGTTACCTACAAAGGACATCCCATCAGGCTAACAGCAGATCTCTCATCATAAACAATGCGAGCGAGGAGAGAATGGGAAAATATATTCAAAGTGTTAAGAGAAAAGCAATTTCAGCCAAGAATACTGTACCCAGCAAGATTATCTTTCAGGTGGGAGGAAAAGACAAGAACATTCTCAGATAAACAAAACCTGAAAGAATTTACCAGCACCAGACCAGATCTCCAAGAAGTTCTCAAGGGTGTGCTATATCAGGAAAATTAAATACAGACACACGGAAATAAGACTTTAAAAACTAAGAAAGTGGCCAACTTAATCATAGGGACAAGTCTGGAGTTGAATATTATATCCCAGAATTTAATCAGAAGACCTCTCAGTTTCAGCATTCTTGCCGTCCGCAGGACCCTCTGCTTCTTTCCTGTACGGTAAGACCGGGCGGCCAGATTCATCATGTCTATTCTCAAGATCCATGCCAGAGAGATCTTCGACTCTCGTGGGAACCCCACTGTTGAGGTTGATCTGTATACCTCAAAAGGTCTCTTCAGAGCTGCTGTGCCCACTGGTGCCTCAACTAGGCTCTATGAGGCCCTGGAACTGCGGGACAATGATAAGACTCACTACATGGGAAAGGGTGTCTCAAAGGCTGTTGAGCACATCAATAAAGCTATTGCGCCTGCCCTGGTTAGCAAGAAACTCAACATTGTGGAACAGGAGAAGATTGACAAACTGATGATCGAGATGGATGGAACGGAAAACAAATCTAAGTTTAGTGCGAACGCCATCCTGGGGGTGTCCCTTGCTGTCTGCAAAGCTGGAGCCGTTGAGAAGGGGGTGCCCCTATACCGGCACATTGCCAACTTGGCTGGCAACTCTGAAGTCATCCTGCCAGTTCCGGCCTTCAATGTGATCAATGGCGGCTCTCATGCTGGCAACAAGCTGGCCATGCAGGAGTTCATGATCCTCCCCGTGAGTGCAGCCAACTTCAGGGAGGCCGTGCGCATTGGAGCGGAAGTTTACCACAACCTGAAGAACGTCATCAAGGAGAAATATGGGAAAAATGCCACCAACGTGGGTGACAAAGGCGGGTTTGCTCCTAACATCCTGGAGAACAAAGGAAGCCCTGGAGCTGCTGAAGAATGTGATCGTGAAGGTTGGTTATTCTGACAAGGTTGTCATTGGCGTGGATGTGGCTGCCTCTGAGTTCTTCAGGTCTGGGAAGTACGATCTGAACTTTAAGTCTCCTGATGATGCCAGCAGGTACATCACACCTGACCAGCTGGCTGACCTGTACAAGACCTTCAACAAGGACTACCCAGTGGTATCTATCAAAGACCCCTTTGATCAGGATGACTGGAATGCATGGCAGAAGTTCATAGCCACTGTGGGAATCCAGGTGGTGGTGGACGATCTCACTGTGACCAACCCAAAGTGCACTGCCAAGGCCGTGGGTGAGAAGTCGTGCAACTGCCTCCTACTCAAAGTGAACCAGATCGGCTCCGTAACCGAGTCCCTTCAGGTCCGTAACCGAGTCCCTTCAGGTGTGCAAGCTGGCCCAGTCCAATGGCTGGGGCGTGATGGTGTCTCATCGTTCCGGGGAGACTGAAGATACCTTCATTGCTGACCTGGTGGTGGGACTCTGCACTGGGCAGATCAAGACTGGTGCACCTTGTCGGTCTGAGCGCTTGGCCAAGTACAACCAGCTCCTCAGAACTGAAGAGGAACTGGGCAGCAAGGCAAAGCTTGCCGGCAGGAACTTCAGAAACCCCCTGGCCAAGTAGGCTGAGGGCAAGTGACCCGGAGGCCTCAGTGACTAGGCGGCTAAGTAGACTGACTTCAGGCCGAGTGTGCTCAACCAGCACTTACAGGGCCTCTGGTAGTTAGTGCCCTTCTCCTGGCTCTGTGGTGCTCATGCCGCTTCCTTAGAACTCTGACCACCTGGAACCCTGCCGGAAACCTTAGCTCTGTAATCATGAGATTGGCCCAAATCATTGTTTTTCTCCCCTCGCTTCACACCAAGTGTCTAGAGCCACGTGCACCTCCAGTGTAATCTCCGAGGGGGCCACAAGCAAGATCCCCAGTGGTTTTGTGTGCAAAAATAAAAAGCCTCAGTGACCCATTAGAAAAAAAGGAAAAACACCATTCTGTGTGTATATATGTGTATACCTGTGTGTATACATGTATACATGCATGTGTGTGTGTATATATACATGTATATGCACATATTCATATAACTCCTTAGGGTTATGTGTGTGTGTGTATGTTTTCTGAACACTCCCTATTATAAGCACTTTACACATTTTATATTATTTAATTCTCAAGAGGAATTCCATATCAGTAGTATTACTGTAGCCATTGTGCAAATAATGATCCCGAAGCCAAGGTCTCACACAGACATACCACAGAGGCACTCCCTAGAGTCTAGCTATTGACACCCAGTACTATATTCAATGTTACAACATAAGCAGAGTCCTATCTGCTCAAATGTATCAAACCAAGAACAGGTTTTTTTCTCCTACATTCTACCCTCACTACTTCATGATCTTTTGGGTGGTCAGAGACAGAAAGATCATGAGTGAAGTGGGCATAAGAGAGAGAGTAAAGCATGCATGAAGTAAAATGGAGACTACAGTTCCTACCACTGATGGGGCTCCCCTCATCTGATCTGAATTGGCTCAGGATGGAAAGAAGTTCTAGAAAGAGAGGAGCTTACAGCCTGTGAGGGTACCAAGAGACTATAGCCAGGTACTCATTGCTATTGTTAAATTAAGAGTTGGCAAACTACAAGCCAGATTCAGTTCACTATTTGTTTTCAGAGGTCTTGGAAACTAGGTATGGTTTTACATTTTTAAATAGTTTTTTTTTAATTACATATTTTAGTTTACTTATTTTTTTTTAATTGCTCAGAGAGGGAA